GGGGGAGGTTCGGTATATTATATTGTTAACCGTCTTGTCTAAAGAGGCAGAGAAAGGAGTTCTAGCCAGAAGGGGGAGGGGAAGAGAGGGAAAGAGAGGATTATTATGGAGTAAAATTAGATCTCGAGTCAAGTCGGTCGGCGATTCGCAATGATGCACGTCCCTCAATGGATCTTTTATTTCCTACTGAAAGAGATCGACCCGATGAGATGGATGACTGAATGAATGGATGAATGGATCATGACATGGGGGGACGGAAGTGTGGAGGGGCAATGGTAAATCTTCAACATCATATCATGGGTCATCAACATCATCATCATCATCATCATCATCATCATCGGTTGCTGCTCAACTGTTCTGCAGTACATGGATTGATTTGCTTTTGACGTCAGGCCCGAAGCGCTGCGGTGGAGTTACGGCGTTTAGTTCCCTTCAGCAGCAGCAGCAGCAGCAGCAGCAGTCAGTATGCCAACAGCCACACACCCACGAGGTACATCTGAACCTCCGGCATACGACGGAAGGTAAAGTAAAAAGAAAAAAAAATAAAAGACCAAACAGAAAGCCCCCAGAAGCCAAAAAGGTCATGGTTAGGTCGCATCATCCGGGGGAAGAGTATGTAATCGACTCTTTTGGGAAGGGGGAAAACCATTGGAACTCCTTTTTCTCCCCTCGGGACAGTCCAGGTACATTTCCAGTTCCCCCCAAATATCAGGTCAAAGTAGGCGACAAAAGCCGCAAATGCCACCTCGAGTCTTGGCTCGGTGTCTGGACCGTCTGGATCGTCGATTCTTTCTAATCAATAGGTAGTGAAGAAAGACACTCCGATCAGGGGTAGCACAGTTATGTACAATGAAGCATTTTCTCAGTGGAAAGAGCGCCCGCCGTTGTGAGGCGGAAGAAGTGCACATAAACATAAATCAAAACCCATCATGGATGTCAACCCAATTGCACATTCCTGACAGTGGGAATCGGCATAAAATATCCGGTGTCGGACCGAGCCAGGGGAAGCAAAGAGGGGGGGGGGGAGGTGAGTAACCAAAGAAAGCGAATTATGCATCAGGGGGAGCGGTGATTCTTTTTCTTCCCCCCCCCCGGGGCAGATCATTAAATTATCCCGACTCCTACTTTTCCTCATCACGACGCGGTCTCCGGTCTCTACGGAGTTACATTGACAGCACGGAGTAGAGGGACTGTACCGTACTATGTGGTAGCCTCGCAAACCGCTACTTAAGAGAAGAGCGCCGACCCTTTATAGTAAATTGCTGCCCCCTGGTCTATGCGTGCATGCCATATGGGATTTTGATTAAAACCCCTCAATTGTCAAACGGTAGTTCGACGGGAAGTTTCTCTAGCTTCTTCTCGTGACAGCCACGAGGGAGGAGAGTCTAGTCTAGTAGACTATTGATTGATTGATTGATTTTGATTAGGTGGGCATTTTTTGCAACAGCCGAACGGCCTTGACTCTTTCGAGTCTTTCTGCAGTGAAGGCCCCATCGACCATCGGGGATAGTTGCCCGTGGAAATGAAATTGGACTGGAGCTCAACTGGAGAAAAATCCAAACGAAATTAACGAGGATTAGGAAATAAATGGGGAGGCCTAGCCGGTGGGAACAATATTAATTTACTCCGAGTCTTAGACAGTAAGACTATTTGTTCGCTAGACTTCGAGAGGGTGGAAACCGTGACAAGTTGGGATGGGCCCCGGACGGACATCGAAGCCCGAATGGTTTAGCTTCTAGTGCGATCGGAAGAGAGAAGGAGAAGATGGACTGACTGACTTGACTGACTGATTGACTACCACTCAGTCACTCACTCAACTCCAACTCAGCTAAGAGCAACCAACTCAAGGTTCTGGATCGCAGTCGCCAGAAGGTCTCGTCTCTCACGTCATGACATCAGCTGATTTTCCGGGGAAAGGGCCTTCCTTGCAACAGTGACAAAAGTCACCGTCAACCACATCATCACATCATCCATTTTTGACATTATGTACATCCATCATCATCATCATCATCCATCCATGCATTTTTTTTTTTTGCCTCTTGGGGCATGGATGACGACGATGAACGGGTGATCGGGCATGACGAAAGCGGCCATCTGCACTTCTCCTTTGGAACCCGGTGGGGACCGCCACGTCCTGATCTGGAATCTGTCGGAGCCGATCTCCCGGTGTCACGTGTGAGCTTGGACCCGAGCGGGCTTAGTCTGCTCCAATGATCGGCCTACCAGGAGGGGGGGGGCTGGCTGACTCAGCTGATGGTCGGGTTGATCGGCCCTTTTGCTGACCTAATTGGATGATCCCTTCACGAACCGTAACCCCTCTTCCATTCTCTGTAGCCCCAGAACAGCCTTACCTTGACACTGGCTGCATCATCAATCAGATAACATCATCGCTGTCGACATCATATCGGGACTATCCTGAAGATAGAGTTAGGGAGGCGTCTCGGTCTGATCAAGCCTCAGTAGCCGTGGACAGGCTCAGCACCTACGATTCACATGCAGGGCACACATCAAGAAAACAAAATAGGCACCAGCGTCATACCCAACCAACTCCACAATGCGATTTACACAGACCACCACAGCAACGCGCGTACACTTGCCCACATTACCCATCCGCTAACATCAGAAACGAAGATTACTACCCACATGCAAAAAGGTATATACGGTCGGGGGTCAAGAAGTCGAACAAGTAAATACATAGGTGCCTGCGGCCATATGCCGGAGTGAGGGAGGGCAACGAATAAGAAGTAAGGGGAATAAGTAAATTAGTTTTGGATGAGGAAGACCATTAACTTCCGACGCTCTCTCCCTCCCTACAATACTCCTTGCGACAGCCGTTGCTCCATCTGCTTGGCCAGGGCTTGCGGCACGGCTTCTTGCGTGGCGCGGATAGTGACTCGGTACATCTGTAATTGGTCAGTCGGTCGTCAATCAACTTCAGTAAAGCGAATCTTACCTTCCGCTCATAGTTGGGCTCCAGTCGCAGAAGACAGCCCGTCTTCCCGTTGACAAACTGATAAACCGCGCAACCCACAATGTTCTTTCCGTTGGGATCGACGTTGTCCAGGATCTTCCAGCCAAATCCTTCCACCACCCGCCGAGTGAACGCTTCGCTCACATCCTTGGCCCGCGCCGCCACTGCAAAGGTATTCTGCGCCTCCAGCGGTCCTCCGCCAATCTGCCGCCACCGTTTGAAGAAGTCTTCGGCAGACAGCGCCGATGGCTCCATGAACCGATGCATCAGGATCGGCAGCTGCAGCGTGTAGGCCTGGAGTGCGCCAGCCAGGTACGAGATGCGAATCGTGGGCGCATCCGTGAATGGCCCGTGCGATTCCACCAGCAGCGTTTGCTGCGTTTGCCCGGCCGCCGGCACAGACGGCTCGGGCAGACTTTTCGTGTCAAGCTTCAGATTCGGGGCAGCGCGGTTGTCCAGCGTGGTCGTGAGTGATCCGACCGGGTACGAGGACTTGTTGGAAAGGTAGATCTTCACCACCCCCATATGGCCCCGATATTCCGATCGCAGGCCGACCTGAATCTGCGCATCCTCAAAGAGCACGCCTTCGTCGTTGAAGTATAGTTTATTGTAGCCGACATCCCAGTCGGGCGTCAGATGGGCGGCGCTGGCCATGTTAGGAGCAGCAGGGGCGCTGAGATCCAGCCCCGCCAAGTCGCCAGACGCACTGGGTCCTGCAGCTGATCCGTTCGTCCCCGTCTTTGTGCCGTTGACAATCGTGGTGAAACTGCGTTTCAGTCCCGTGTTCTGCGCCATCAGCATCTCCTTCTGGTCCGCATTGGCATCCTTGCCGCCCACCACCCATGTCTTCTTCTCCGTCGCGCCCGCCGTTTTCTGGTGGAGACGGGAGAGCAGGATCGAGGCTCGCTCGGAGAAGGGGGGCATCTCATCGCAGACTGTCCGGAGCAGATCGTCCGTGGGAAGCGTCGCCAGCGACAGATACTCAAAGGCACGCTGCTGTAATTCGGAGTCGGGAGAATGGCTGTACAGGCGGAAAATGTGCAGAAGTTGGGGTTTGATTTCGGGGAAGAGGTTGACAAACTTGATGAATGATGACAGGATCATGGCCCGCGTGTTGTCGGTGCTGGTGATCATCTTCGCCTGCAGTGCCAAAAATTGCTCGATCGGGCTCGAACCCTGACTGTCAGCAATCAGGTGGCCGAATTCACCCAAGACATAACAACCGATCTTCACCAAGCTCTCATGGCAGTCGGTCTTCAAATATCCAAGGAGGTTGTGTGCCGCGTAAGCCTGGAGTTCTTCGTTGTTGGTCACGATCTGAATTACACGCTGCCATACTTCCTCGTTGACGTGGTCACCGGCCAACGACAGCAGCTTGAGTGTCATGTCGATGTACCACTGGGCATCCGTAGCGTATTTCTCCGTGAGAATGGCCACCTTCAAGACCATTTCCTCTCGGATCGCATAGTCGGCAGTTTGGAGATAGCGTAACAGCTCGTTCACGATTGGGCCAGCATTGGTCGTGTCGCACATACTGTATACTAGATCCAGACCCTTCCGCCGAACACTGATATCGCGATCTCGCAAGGAGCCAAGAATGATACTCTGGTGCTTCTTGATGGGATCGAGGGTCTCCGCCCGAGCAGCGAAGTGCGTCAATGCTTCCAACCCTAGATAGCGGACGTTTGTCTCGCGAGATTGGATGTACTTTCCTAACCGAGCAGAGATCTGTAGCATCAGACTATGCTCGGTGTCCAGGTGGATAAGAAGGTTGATGGCTTCGAAGAGGACCGCATTCTGGGCGTTATTCTGCTGAACGTTCTTGGGCGCATCCATAGCGGAATTCATGATCTGCTGCAGAGACTCTCGAATGATCTCGCGGACATGGGTGTCGCCTGGCGTTCGGTTAGCATGAAGGGATCACGCAGCGAATCGTTGGTATGATCACAAACCTGAGGGAGGGTAGTACTGCAGCAAGCGTAGTAGCTTCACTTGGATCCACGGGCATGGAACACGGTAGTAGAGGTAGTCGGGCGCAATATCATTGTCGACCACAATCCTTTTCAGTCTGAAAGCAGCCTTAACATAACACCCTGCGTATTCCTCCGGCTTGTCCTGGGCCAGTGCCATGACCAGCGATGTCACCGACAGAGTGACGCCCATGTCGGGATCGTCCATAATGGAGATTATGCGTTCCGCCCACTCGGCCTGTACAATGCCCGGGTACTTGCGATACAATCGGAGAAGGGTAAGGGCGGCCTTCTTCTTCACGAAGGCTTTGGAGGTCCTAGTTACGAGAATCAGCAACCCATTCTAACACCATCAAGATTCCCCTCCCCTGAGACCACCAGGCAATCAACTTACGGCGAAATCAGTAACCGGTGCACATCCGTCGAGAGCGCCTCGCCCATCTCCCGCCCACCGACGTTAGCCACCGCATGGAGCGCCAGACAGTTATTCAGCTCGTTGTGGTCCAGCAGATCCTTCCGAATACTGTTGACCACCAGGTGGAGGAGTTCGTGCTGCTCGTGCAAGAACAAAGTCACCGCCAGATACCCGATCTGCTTCTCGGAGTATTTGGTGGAGGAGATGAGGTTGACGGCCTCCAGGTGACCGAAATCGACATCGTAGCCCTGAATGTAGACGTAGAGCAGCTTGCAGACGTATTTCTTCTTCTGGTACCCGTTCAAGCTGCCGCCCTTGAACTTCTGGCGGATGTTGGCCAACTCCTTGTTCACCCGCTTCTCTTCCAGCTCGCGCGCTCGTGCATTACGCAGGTCGGCGATGAACTGGACCAAACCCCGCATGGACGACATGTTGGGCGACGGAGTACGGGACGAGGAATATTAGAAAATAAGTGATTATAAGGAGCGATGGGTGCGGATTAGAGGTGCGAAGGCCAGTTAAGATGCTGGCTTGGCTGCAAGAAGAGGATAGATTGAGACCAGTCGTTCCGTCAGTCGGTCTCTCTCGGACTCGGGTCGAACGGGGTGGGCCTATTCACTGCGTCCGTCCGTTGCATGCAGTTGTCGCTGCGTGATGGAACAATGCGGGGAGGTTCGTCGGTTTGATTTGTGTTTCTCCGCTCAGTATCTTTGGAGTGCATGGAACATGGCGTGGAATGCCGATGTGGAGAGCGAGCGGAGATCTAGAGGAGGAGAGGAGGAGGGGGGGGG